GTGTTTCCTTTTATTCGTCATCTTCTTCGTGGTATTTTTCTCGAAAAGTTGCTCGATCCGTAAAATAGAAAATGATCGAAACGATTGAAAATGATATTTCGATTGAAATGTTTGTTTGTCAATGTCGAATTTCGTATGTAAAATCACGTAGACGTCAGTTGTGTGATACGTTGTGATAGCTCGAGGTTGGTTCACATACTTTCACATTCTTCGAGTTCAGATCCCAATCGCCCAACTTTCGGACGAGTTATTGAATGGTCTCGGGTGCCAAAATTTCTACCGACCATTATTTCACGTGAGAATTCGTTATAAAGAATAATCTCGAACATCCGGAGGAATTTGATTCGGCAGAGTAATTTGTTTTTCCTTGGTGAAAGCACGTTCGTTAGAATGTCTGTTCGCAGACTGTGTTGTAATAATTCAACTTGAAAAGGATTGAATTAATTTCGTACGATGGTTAGTTTTGACAATTTACGTAAAATTTGCAAATGCGTTAAAATTTGTTATTCTCACTTGTGTTTTCGTGATACGGAGAAATTAGTAAAACGGTATCAATTTTATTAATGGAGATAAGACATGGGAATCGCGATAGTGCACCTTTTGATAATGATTTAGATTAATTGAATTTGTTTAGTAGCTGTTTTTTAATTGATATTGTTAATTGGCGTGATCTTATCGGGAATGGTAATTGCGGGTTAAATATAGAGTATAGTAATTAATTGATGCTATGTGTGAATAAAAACTGAAGTAAATAGGAGCGGAAGCAATATTACTTGGTTTTAGTAGTGAACAGCGTAAACGCTAATTACGAGTAGTTTCGATAGCATCTGGTATAGTAGATCTAGCAGGATCTGAATTAGACAGTGGAAAAACCGCGGAAAATGAAATCGTCAGAGTTTCGAAAAATGGAAAATAATTGAAATATGTAATCGACAACTATTTCATTTTCTATTTAAATTCTCCAATTACTCCAAATTTCATTCCAAATTTCATTCGATTCATAAAGAACCGCGCACGATACACGAAGAATGCAGAAAAATGCCGAGCGAATGTAAAACAAAACGAATCTCTCTCCTTAGTACCACCGAAGCACGCGCAAATGTTAAGGATAACGATCTGCGCAATTTCGTAAGTAAAGTAGAACTTCGTCAGTAGGTGTTTAATGACGTTGGAAAATTATCCGGGGAGTGCTTTGCGTTCCTCTCGTTCCCGGTAGGAGAAGTAAAGTGGCAAGGGAAAAGGTTGGACCCCATGCATGACACACCGTTTTTCGATACCTTTTCCTTCGATGCGTTATTTTCTCGAACGCTGGCCTTGAGTAACGAAGTAATATAACGCGTGGTAAAAGTGGGGTAGTGAACTTGCCTGCTGCCACGAAACTAGTTATCCAAGAATGTAATAAGCGGATACGACGCCGTGGAAATCACATGACACGCATGGGCACACATCAAACACGGTCATTGCTCAATGTTGCATGTCCTCCTATAAACATACTGACCGTTTCATTTTAGGTTGTCCCGAGGCACTCCGTTACAGCGAAACGGGAATTACCCGCCGTTCCTATTGCTCGTTCAATTTCAGAACCACGGTACGTACTATGGTAATTGTTACGTATCGTTTAAAGTTCGTGTTTATGGGTGACCGCGATCTGACACGCTTGTAATTAGCGGTAATGAACGATGTCGATCTTGCTTGAGAATGGTCGAAGCAATCAGTTCGGAGGAAAAAGTTTTTCTCGTATAGATTGGCTGTGAATCGTATGTAAAGTTGTTTTGTTTCTCGAAAGAGTGCCATTTCTCTGCGTGATGCTTCCATAAATCGGTATCAAAGATTTATGTTATTTTTTCTTATCGTTTTTTGCTGTATTGAAGATTGAGATCGATATCGAACGTTCGTGTTATCTTTTTTCGTCGTTGTTTTACTGTATTGAACAGCGACGAATGAAAAACGAGATCGATATCGAAGGTTCATCAGTTAGATCTTACTTCTGTCTCTATGCGATGAATTTGGGTTATTTTTTCATGTCATTTTTTATTAAGTATATTGGACAACGGAGAATGAAGAATGAGAATAAAGTAGGTTTAATTAATGTGAACATCGTCGGAAGTCGGAAGACTATTTTTCTCTGTCTGTGTATTATTCATTTGTGATAAATGAATTTTCCATGAGAATAAAGCTGCCTATGAAAATACGCGTTACATTGGATTTTTTTTTCTTTCTGAATTGCACCTCTAATTTAAGGTTAGCGGAAAATTATAGGCAAACAGGAAACAGTATTTTTTTTTATATTTGTAATCACGACGACGAAGGTCGTAAATGACACGAGAAACATCTTCGTTTCAGTTTAATGTGTTAGAAACGGTTTGATTAATTGATTAGTTCATTTACATAAGGTTGCACAGAAAAAAGGATAATCATGGATGTACTTGAGCTAAATTGTTGCTCATTCATATATAAAAGAAATGAGTAATGGAAGCGTCATCGTATTTGGAGGTTAGGTTATGTTAGGTTAAGTCATCGCATTTGGAGGTGTTGCAAATGAGGCAACGAAACTTTTATCCGTTAATTTACCTTTTTCCTCCTCCCTTTCTGAATATGAAAAAAATCAAATTTTTCAATGGTTTTATTAATCGATTAGTTCGATAGCTTAACCCTTTCGTCGCCACTTGAGTAAAAATTGACCTCAATTTAGTATCCATTATACACAAACAGATCGAAAAATAAGTAACAAATTCTTAAAAAAAGAAATTCTTTCAATGGTTTTATTAATCGATTAGTTCGATAGCTTAACCCTTTCGTCGCCACTTGAGTAAAAATTGACCTCAATTTAGTATCCATTATACACAAACAGATCGAAAAATAAGTAACAAATTCTTAAAAAAAGAAATTCAGCTATAAACTTTTTGAAAGATATTGGTTTATACCACCTACTATAGACTGCACCACTGAATAAACTCACTGTGGTCACTAATAACCTCAGAAGGTGCATGTGACCTTAATCACCCAATAAAAAAAAAAAAAATTCGTTTCTGAGATTTATTTCGAAGTTAACAAGCTTCCCACCCTCAAAACTTCGATCATCCCCATATTTCTTAAATCTTTGCCAAATATTAAAAATTTTTCAAAGAATAATTCGGTCACGAAAGGGTTAAGAAAGATCGTCTTCGAGATTTATTTCGAAATTAACAAGCTTGCCACCCTCGAAACTTCCCTACAGCTTCGCCAACCATAAAAAATTCTTCAAAAACTGATTCGGTCGCGAAAGAATCAATGTCGCAGTAGAACGGTCAATCTCCCGCGAACAACGATACGCAATTACACCCAGGGCGTCAGGTGTTTAACGCGTTCCTGTCGGACACGAGTATTATTTGCCTGTCGTGACCTCGATTGATCCACCGGCGAACTTGTGAAACGACGTTGGTGCCATTTACTCGCATCCTGATCTCATAGACTGTCGACCGCTATAGAGTAATATACACAGTGGCTGTGTCGAGTGAGCGTTGGTCGTCGTCTGCACGCGGTGAATGCTAAGAAATTGTGGGGAATCGGAATCGTGTTCGAATGACGAAAGTAGGCATCGGTGTATGTCGTATACTGAAAGAATGCCGTTCTGGCACATCGTCGGTGAAGTGGCGAGAGAACTGGGAAAAGAGACGCCGCCGCTGTAACCCATTACGTGCCCACCAAACGTAAACAGTCGCAGGAATGACGGATCTTGGTGAAGAACAGCTGTGGCCTCGTGAAACGCTATATTACGTATTCCGCGTGTTAGGTGTCCGCCGATGAGAAATCGACACGGATTGAGATAATTTCAGAGTGTAGGGAGGTGGATAAAATTGGAGGGGTCTATGAGGAAATAACCATAGTTGAAGGATAAGTGGTGGATAAATTTCATTGAATTTTTTTTTTTTTTTTTTTTTGTTGGTGAATTGTGTCAAGACTCTTGGAACCTTCTATGGATGATCGCGTATTTTTTTTTTATGTCATAGTTATATCAGTAAATATTCGTTTTAACGTTGAGCGTGTAGTTTAGGTTCTCAAGGTTAAGACTGTTTTTGTTTTAGCGTATTTTTAGATGTCAATATAATTTTTTAATTTTTAATTATTCTGGAATTACTGTGGTGAAGAATAATTTGTGTATCGGAGGTGACTTTTGAATTCACATTTCTATTCTGTTGGTAGGGAAAAGTGTGAAAATTATACTGAAATAAGGAGCCTAATTTAATCATTTCAGCTATAGAAATAAGTAGAATAATCTAAAATAATTCAAATTTCTGAATAATTGCTGAATAACAAAAATTGAGTCATAAACTGTTCAGAAATTATGATCCATTGTTTACTTCACACACGAAATACTTATATCAAGTTGTAAATACAGTGTTATTTATTAAAAAACACGCGTAAATATCCAGTTAAGCGTTCCTCAAGTAGTAAGATCAACGATTCGCGCGGCGAGACGCAGCGCGTGAAGTAGTAGCGGCACTATATGATCAGACCAAGCGACGCGTCACTATCAGAGAAATGTTTTCTAAATATGCTCGATGCATTCATGGAACGAATATTCCACTATGTACACCGACATACGTGTTCCATGTGCAATCTTGTTTCATACTTACGAGTATGCATAATTCTAAACTGAATCGTTAAAATTCATATGTACATTTATTAACAGAATTATATATGTTTGAGTACATAATTGTCTGATTACTCCAAGAAACATAAGCCTTTCGTTTGATATACAACACTACTATATTATGAACTGTGGGAAATATTCAGATTTACAGCATAAATAATTCTCATTATTATTTTCCACTTCAACTAAGAATTATGAATTTTTCTCATACTTGGAAAAAAATTTCTTTATTAACAATTAAGGAAGAATTAAGTTAAAAACAGTGACACAAATTCCTAATAAAATTTCTCACACAACGCACACTTTTTTTTTTATCAAATGCGATTATTTTTCTCTATTAATAATGAATCCTTCTTTTTCCTTGCAGAGTAGAACGAGCACACGAGACTGCAGGTCGAATGTCACGAGGATGATGAGTTCTATGCAGACGCAACTTCCTGGATCCTTGCGCGATTATCAAGTCGACCCTTACCGACTTCTCGAGGATGACCTGAAAGATGTTTACGACAACATACGAGAGGTCAGTCGAAATCCTATCCATCATCCAGAAGCCACAGGTTAACGTCATCGCGTTGCTTTGAAATTCCTTTTTACTCAATCAACGGCATTACAGGTTTCGTGTACACGCTTTCTATAAAAAAAAAAAAGCTCGTGTCTCTCTAAGTCCAGACCAGTTTAGTTACCTGGAAGAATGTGGAAGTCCAGTTCCTTATATAGAAGTGTTTATACAGTTCTTACGATTCTTTACATGGAACTGCCCGGGAAAAGTTATACATTTCAGAGACGGTAACGAAAGAATCATTGAGAATTTTAATTGTTATTGCGTAACAAATAGATTGTAAGTAGTACGTTTTACGTTGCTGTTAGGAAAGCAAAAATTAACGAAATAGGTTTATAAATAGCGAAATATATTGTTTCAAAATATTCTCACACTCTGTATATGTTTTTTTTTCATAATTAATTCAAGATCGAGAATGATTCCCAAAATCCTCCTAAAAATTTTGAAGCTTCACTTACGTTGCATAG